TCTTGTGTTTTATCTTTAAATAACTAGAATATGATTCTTTTTTCTTCATACCTTAATTTTGTTTTTAAAGTCTGGCCACAGTGAGAAAAGCAAAGACAAAATCATACATCTTTTCAAAAAGTTTGTAATCTAAGAGCCCAGCCTGGTAGTACACATTTGTAATCCCAACACTCAGGAGACAAAGGCAGGAGGATTATTCCAAGTTCAGGGACAGCCAGGGCTACATAGCAAGACCTTGTATCAAAGAAAGCTATTTTATACTTAGGCAAGACGGAAACCCTTGAACATCAAGTATTTGAGCCCAGGAGTGGCACAGACAGGTATAGCCTGAATTTCAGTATAGTTTGTAAACTTGTGCAGATACAGCTGCTTTTCTCTTTGAGGAAGGAAAAAGTGCCTGACTACTTTTCTTGTGTCTACCAGTTTTCTCACTTGCCCCTCAGGCACATTCCATTCCATCCTGGCTTAATTTTGTACACTGGCTACTTCATTATTATTTCTTAAGGGCATCTTTGGATTTTCTTGAGGTTAATTTTTAGAATCTCAAATAACAAAATCAGGACAACTGACTGGACTTTAGAGAGACTGGTATTAGACTCTCAGGGAACTTCTGTTCTCTAGTCACAGAAGATGGGAGGCTGGGTTTGCTTGAGCTGTAGGAACCAGACCTATTGGTCTGCACCATGCCCCAACATTGGGCTTCTACATCTCATCTTTCCTGTTTCTTCCTCCTGTGCTGCTACAGGCAAACAATAAAGTCCGTTGATTGCCTGAGTTTTACATGTGATACATGTACTAATGTTGTAATTCATGTACTCTTGGAGAGGCACACACCTCAACTTTAACTGTATTCCTGGGTCTTTTATCACTCTCACCTTTATCAGGTCTTCTTCCGGGGCCTTTTTTTAATACTGAAGTTCTTCCTACTTCAAGGATTAGTCACTATTATTAGACCAGGTACAGATGCCCATTTGGATTTCAGGAAGGATAAAGGCCTTTCCTCTTAAAAGTATGTTGTTCTTTTTATCTTTTACTGCTTCTACCCCCAGTTTACTACTTGAGATGAAACTACAGTTTCGGAAGTTACCTTCCCAGCAGTTGCTCACAGATCTTTGATGCTGTCTGCCCACTATTCTGAGTTATAACCAGAAAATTGTAGCTGCTTATCCTCTCTCTATCTCATCTTTGGATACTGGCCAGAGTTTAAGTGTGCTTAACTTGATATTTTGAACATTGCCCACACCCTTATACACCTGCTTACCAACCTCCATTCCTGGATATGCTGAACCCTAGCTCAGAAGGCATGACTTTCTCCTTTCCTCTTCTCCATCAGCTGCCAAGATTTACATCTAACCTGCTCTGTGATTTTGCTCTCAAACTTAAAGAAAAAACTACCTTCCGAGCCTGTCAGACGTCCTCTACCTCTGTACATACTTTTATTCCTACTTTTTGTTTCTCTCTCTTATCATAAGGCAGAGAAGGAAACTGTCTGCTCCTTGAATCCGTGGTCACACTGCCCATCCCACTGGGAAATAAGGTTCTAGAATGGGCTCTCATTTTGTTTTCCCTGTGAATTGGCAGAGCACATTTGTACATTACCAGTAACCATATTCAATCTTACTCTTTCACATTCTGTGGATATTGGCCTACATAGCTACCTTATTTTTGGACAGGGTCTCAACTGGAACTTGCCAAGTAGGTCCAATGTTGGGATCACAAGTATGTGCAGCTATACTTAGCTTTTTGGGTTCTGGGTATCAAATCTAGGTCCTCATGATTTCAAGGCAAGCACTTTACTAACAGCTGTCTCCCCAGCCCACATTTTAGTCAGTCTTCTGCTTGGGGATTGTTGCTCGAGACTATCTTGCTTTGAAGAAGTATACCATAAACTTATGTCTGATACTACCATTCAGGACTGAATTTAGGCAAAAATGTGCATTAAAGAGTGTATTTTTAAAGTTTTTAGTAAAAACTATGTTGGTAGACATGCAAATATGAATCAGCCCCACTCACCTTGTCTAGAACTGACCCTGAGAGAGATGACATTTCTGTTGGATGACAACACTGCTGTGTGGCAAAGCTTGGCCAGGCCTCTACTCCCTTCACCTCTTCAGGATCTCTAGTGGTTCTGCCAGGTCAAAACTTGATAATAGCCTAATTAATAACCAAATGCGACCCAGAAAATGTCTCCTCACTGACTGTTGATTAAACCTGCTTTCTTTATTTTCATTTCAGATTTGTCCAATATGTGCAGCGTTACCTGGAGGTGATCCTAATCATGTCACAGATGACTTCGCAGCTCATCTTACACTTGAACACAGAGCCCCTAGAGATTTAATATCCTTTTAAGTAGCAACAAGGGAAAGGATTGTTGATAACAAATTGTTGGCATTTTGATTATTTTTGAGGATGGTATTGGTATTAGTTACTTTTCTGTTGGCTGTGATAAACATTATGACCAAGGCATCTTAACGAATGACGTTTATTAATCTGTGTGCCTACCGATACAGCAGTTCATTTTCTGTTTAGCAACAGCATTGGAAAAAAACTTGAACACAAAGATTAGTCATCAAAAGGAGCCTTGTCCGGCTTGAGAGATGGCTCAGCACTTAAGAGCACTGACTGCTCTTGCAGAGGACCCAGGTTCAATTCCCAGCATGGCAGCTAACAACTATCCATAAGTTAAGTTCCAGGGGATCCAGTGCCCTCTTCTGACCTTCATAGGCATCGCACAACACAAAGGCGCTTACGCTGGGCGTGGTGGCGCATGCCTTTAATCCCAGCACTTGGGAGGCAAAGGCAGGCGAATCTCTGAGTTCGAGGCCAGCCTGGTCTACAAAGCGAGTTCCAGGCCAGCTGGGGCTACAGGAAAACCCTGTCTCAAAAAGACCAAAAAAAAAGGCACATACATACATGTACATGCAGGCAATGCATTCGTACACATAAAATAAAAATAATAGACTTTTTAAAAGGAGCCTTGGGACTGGAGAGATGGCTTAGTAGTTAAGAGCACTAGCTGTTCTTGCAGAGGACCCGGGTTCAATTCCCAGCACCTACCTGGTAGCTAGCAACCATCTGTTACTCCAGCTTCAAGGAGATCTGATACTCTCTCTGACCTCTTTGGGCCTTCCACAACACAGGTGTACTTACATACATGCAGGCAGTACACTCATGCACATAAAATAAAAATAACAATTTTTTTTTTAGAGTTTTGCCAGGCATGATGATGCACACCTTTAATCCCAATACTCGGGAGGCAGAGGCAGGTGGATCTCTGTGAGTTCAAGGCCAGCCTGGTTTACATAGTAAGTTCTAGGCCAGCTAGGGCTACAGGGAGACCCTATCTCAAAAAGATTTTGAAAAAAAAAAAAAAGGAATCTTGTCTATAGAATTCAAATGATTCATCTTGTTTCTTCTTCATTGTACATGACAATGAATGTTTTATTAGCTTTTGATACAGCTTTCCACCCCCCAAAATGACAGTAAGTAATTTTGGCTACTTGGATATAGACACACATAAAATTCAGTGGGTTTTTGTTTTGTTTTTTTTTAATTTTTATTTTATGTGTATGCATGTATTGCCTGCAAGTAGGTAACTGCACTGTGTCATGCAATGCCCACGGAGGACAGAAGAGGCTGTCAAATCCTCTGGGACTGGAGTTACGGATAGCTGTTAGCTGCCATGTGGGTGCTGGGATTCGAACCTGGGTCTTCTGCAAGAACAGCCAGTGTTTTTAACTGCTGAGCCATCTCTCCAGCCCAAAATTCAGTGTTTTAATGAGGGTATGGAAATGTTCACCTTAGATATGTGGGCAGTCAACTCTTTTCACCTAGTTCTGGCAGTTTTACTCTAGAACCTGGAAAGAAAGTTCTTGACCTTAAGCATACATCCAAAATTCACACATTGCTTTTGTTATTTGTTTAGTTTTTGAGTCAGGGTCTCACTGAGGCTGGCCTCAGACTCTCTACCCTCCTGTCTTAGCCATCTAAGTGCTAGGATTACAGGCATATACTACTATACTTAGCTTCACATGTTGCTTTATGTTTAAGTATCATTTTTTAGGGTTAACAGTGTGTGTGTGTGTGTGTGTGTGTGTGTGTGTGTGTGTGTGTGTATACAGAAAGTACTGAAGAGATTTTTTTTTTTCTCTTTATAAAATTTGTTGTCCTTTCCTTAACTTTTGAGTTATGATGAATCGAGTGGTGTTCGACATGTACGTAGAATGTTTCACCCTGGTCGGGGATTAGGAGGTCCTCGTGCTCGTAGATCAAACATGCACTTTACTAGCAGTTCTACTGGTGGACTTTCTTCTTCTCAGAGTTCATACTCTCCAAGCAATAGGGAAGCCATGGATCCTATAGCTGGTAAGTTCACTTCAACTTCATAAAGGAAATGGCAGGGCAAGGAGGGAGCACCTTTTAAAAGATTTTTATATGGTTTATGATTATGTTTGTATTCAAAAAATGTTCCAGATATTTAGAAGTGCAAAATATTTTTAAGTAGCCAACATAGTTATTACAAGTGTTTCCCTAAGTAACTAGGGGCATAAGCTAATACAGAAGGGTTTTGTTTGCTATTTATGGCCTCATTGAAACCTAAGAAAATTGGGGAAGATTTCAGAGTAGAAGACTCTTCCATGATTCAATTTCAAGTGCACAGATACAAATGTTAACAGATGAGATTAAATGACTAAGCTTTTCTCCAGGAAGAAAGTAGGAATTTCTGTGTTTTTACCTTGATTTGAGAACTATATAAGTTGGAGGTAATGTTATAATGACTTGAAAAAATATATGAAGAACAATACTTGGACTTATTGTTCGTGGCCAACTGTGTCTATAGCATGATAAACCTAGGAAGCAAATGAGTCAAAAATAGTCTCGATTAAATGACTAAGCTTTTCTCCAGGAAGAAAGTAGGAATTTCTGTGTTTTTACCTTGATTTGAGAACTATATAAGTTGGAGGTAATGTTATAATGACTTGAAAAAATATATGAAGAACAATACTTGGACTTATTGTTCGTGGCCAACTGTGTCTATAGCATGATAAACCTAGGAAGCAAATGAGTCAAAAATAGTCTCTCAAAATCACTACAGCCTAGCCGGGCATGGTGGCGCACGCCTTTAATCCCAGCACTCTGTGAGTTCAAGGCCAGCCTGGTCTACGTAGTGAGTTCTAGGACAGCTGGGGCTACAGGGAGACGCTGTCTCAAAAAAGACCAAAAAAATCACTACAGCCTGAGAATCTAGGGTTCCCAAAGCAGAAAGTCTGGCAGGGTATGTACAACTTAGAGCCGTAGTTCTGAAACCTGTTTATATGGAGGAGTGTTTGTCTAGAAATCATGATGCACCTTTTAGAGCACCTGAATGTAGTAAATCTAAATTTTTGACAGACATTCACAACAGGGTTACTCAAGATATTCTTAAAGACGTAAGATAGTGGAGAGGTAGCTCAGCAATCAGGAGCCCTTCCAGAAGACATGAGTTCCTTTCCCAGTACCCACATTGGGCAGCTCAAGCGTCAAGAGTTTCTTATACCCTCTTCTGGCCTCTTTGGGTACCTGCACACTTGTGGTATACATACACACACATTAAAGTAAAAATAATTTTAAAAAACATGTAAGATATACAGTATTTTTTATTCCAAAAAGTGCTTTGGAAGTTTGGATGTACAACAGTAGAGATAAGCTCAGTAAACTGTGTTTGGGGAGAGTTTTTTAAACATTTTTGTCCAGTGTGACTCCTTACCTGCTATCTAATAGTAGAGGCTCTAAAAGGTAGTTTCTGGCAGCTGAATTTAGAAATTCCCTCCATTTCATTGATTTTGTTTTTCCATTATTGAAAATTCATTTTAGTGATAGGCTATATACTGTAGTAGAGAATTGTATAAGAACTGCTGAGATGGATAGAACTGATCCTGTTGATGAGTTTTAGTGAGTTAGAGCCTTTGCTCACTGAAGGCTGGGCAGATCTTTTATGTTGGAATCAGCAATGACTGTACCTTCCTTAGATGAGAACACAGAATCAGGGTCCACATTGCTCTTAATAAATATATAGTGACTCCAAAGAGTGGATCTCAGAGGACTGGGCTTGCTGAGCACTAACTGTGACACTTGGATCCTCTGCAACAGCAATATCTGAAAGCACTAAAGAAAAGACTGAATGAAGCCAGTGCTAAATGGCCACAGTAAGAAATGCTCCAGAGTCCACGATTTGATCCTAATAATCCCTCTAGTCATCTAATGAATATTGATTTCTTACAGTGCCAGGCCCTGCTCTGAGAGCTAGGAATATATTAAACAGTAGGCTCCACCCATCTTCATGGAGCTTTTATTAAGAGGGCTTTTGTTGTGATTGGACCTGTAGATATACATATCCCTTAAATTGAAGAAGTATAATTAAATCTGTACGTTATTCAAATAATTTTGAGAACCATCTCTATTAAGTTTTGCTTAAAGCACTGGTTTTGGGCTCTTCATCTAATTGTGTTGCTGTGAGCCCCTACTTTTTCATAGTGCTTTGGATTTTCTCCACTGAAAGGGAGTGATCTGTAACATTTGTTTTTCCTCGGTGTTGAATAGACTTTGACTGTCTTCATTTCCATTGGCAGAGCTTTTATCTCAGTTATCAGGAGTGAGACGTTCTGCAGGAGGACAGCTTAATTCTTCTGGCCCTTCCGCTTCTCAATTACAACAGCTGCAGATGCAGCTGCAGCTAGAACGGCAGCACGCCCAGGCAGCACGGCAACAACTGGAGACTGCACGCAACGCAAGCCGGCGCACTAACACAAGCAGCGTCACCACTACAATCACACAGTCCACAGCATCCACCAACACAGCAAACACAGAAAGCAGTCAGCAGGCTCTCCAGAATTCCCAGTTTCTTTTAACAAGGTACTGCCCCTACTAATAAAATTTGGTTGGGGGAAGTGGTGGTGTTTGTCTATTTTGAGATAGGGTCTCCTTATAGCCCCAGCTGTTCTGGAACTCATTATGTAGACCAGGCTGGCCTCGAACTCTCAAAGATCCGCCTGCCTCTGCCTCCCAAGTGCTGGGACTAAAGGCGTGCGTCACCACACCTGGCTAGGGAAGTGATGTTTTATTGACACTATGCAGCCTAACATAATCTTTGGGTCTCCCTATGTAGACCAAGCTGGCCTTGAACTCACAGAGATCCACCTGCCTCTGCTTCCCAAGTGCTGGGATTAAAGGTGTGGACCTTTCAGCCCTCCAATTAAAACTACTGGTTGTTCTTGCAGAAGACCAGGGGTCAAATCCCAGTACCCACATTGCAGATAACAACTATCCATTACTCCAGTCCCAGAGGATCCAACAGCCTCTTCTAACCTCCACCGGCATTGCACAACACAGGTGCACTTACCTACATGCAGGCAATACATGCATACACATAAAATAAAAATAAAAAAATAAAAATATTACCAAAAAAAAAATGTTGAACCTGGTGTGGCACACACCTATTTTAATCCCAGCACTTGGGAGGCAGAGGCAAGCTGATCTGTGAGATCAAAGTCATCCTGCTCTACATTATCATGGGCCAGGCCAGCTGGGACTACAGGAAGACCCTGACTCAAAGACATTTTCCTTCCCTGTACTGCACAGAAAGCTAAAGCACTGTATCATTTACACTTATATATTATTTATCAGCTACATCTGTTTCATAATTAACATTGCTTGCTTCTAATTTTCAGTTTGTTGTGAAATATTTAAAGAGTTAAAACAGGGGTTAAAGAGATGGTCAGTGGGTAAAAGTCCTTGCTGCACAAGCATGAGGATAAGAGTTCAGATCTCCCCATGAGAAAAGCCAAGTGAGGTGGTGTACACCTGTAATCCTAGCACTGAGAGGTGGAGTCTAGAGGGTCCCAGGGCTTACTGGCCAGCCAGTCTAGCCAGTCAGTGAGTTCCAGGTTCATTGAGAGACTTTATGTCTCAAAGAAAAGGTGGAAGGCAATAGATATCAACCTCTGACCTTCACACACAACATGCACAGGTACATACACGTATGTATTGTATGCACACAGATATATCACAAACATGCACAGACACAGAAGAACAAAAGATTTTATGCTATAATGGGGGATATCTTTTGTGATTTTTTTTTTTCTCCCCCAAATTAGATTTAAATTTGTAGAATTAGTATACCAGAGTAACTTAAAAATGGTTTTCACGCCAGGCATGGTGATACACACCTTTAATCCTAGCACTCAAGAGGCAGAGGCAGGTGAATCTCTGTGAGTTTGAAGCCAACCTGGTCTATATATAGTAAGACCTTTTCTCAGAAAATAAAACAAAAAATTGGTTTCTCATGGTGTCAGTAATATTTAGTACTTGTAGTAAACTGTTACTCCACTGGATGGACTTCTCATATACTCCCAACACTGCAGTTGAGGGTTGGGGATGTAGGTCAATTAGTAGGGAGTGCTTGCTTAGCTTGTGCACACAGTCTTGGTTCCATCCCAACACCACATAAACTAGCATGGCATAGGGCCATTCAACCCTGCTGACCTCAGTTCAATCCCTGGAACCCACATAAAGGTAGAAAGAATGGATGGAGTCCAAAGTTGTCCTCTGATTTCCACATGTGTGTCACAACTTGCATGCACCCATATACACCACTCACATCAATAATAACAATAAATTTTAAAAGTCAAGGAACAGGCTGGGAGTGGTGGCACGTGCAGATCTCTGTGAGTTCGAGGCCAGCCTGGTCTACATGCCAAGTTCCAGGCCAGCTGGAACAAAAGGGCAAATGAAAAAATACCATGAAAAATTATAACATGAAAATTAGATTAAAAGATGATTCTCTGTGGGACTTGGGATGTAGTTCAGTTGGTACAGTGCCTGCTTAGCATGCAAAAAGTGCTGGGTTCAAGATCATACTCAATTGTATAGTAAGTTCAAGGCCAACTGGGCTACAGAAGACCCTGGCACAAAAACAAAACAAAAAAATTACCACAAAATATAATGTATATGACAGTTCATTAGAATATTAGAAGGAACTACTGTAATTTGTACTTCTTTTGTCTCACACTTAAATATCAGTGAGGTGTACATATGCATAGATATAAATAACATGTGGGCATAAAATGAAAAATGAGGGTCCCTGGTCTTCTAGAGTCCCAACTTTGCCAATTAATAGGTTTGACCCTTAGACAACTTGGTATCTTCAAACCTCAGTTTATTATTTTTATTTTATGTGTATGGGTGTATTGCCTGCATGGATCTAAGTTCAACTGTGTTGTGCAGTGTCCACAGAGGTCAGGAGAGCGCATTTTGATTACCCTGGAACTGGAGCTACAGATGCTTGTTGGCCTCCATGTGTGTACTGGAAATTGAACCTGGTCCTCTGCAAGAGCAGCCACAGCTCTTAACTGCTGAACCATCTCTCCAGCCCCAAGCCTCAATTTTCTGTTTTTTGTTTTAAACTTTTTAAATTTTATGTGTGTGAATGTATTCCCTGCATGTATGTAACGGCATTTGTGTGTGCAGTGCCCACAGAGGCCACAAGGTGTCGAATCTCCTGGAACTGGAGTTAAGGATGGTTTGTTAGCTGACATGTGGGTGCTCAGAACAGAACCTTGGTCCTTTGCAAGAATGCTGAGCTATCTCTCCAGCCCCCAAACCTCAGTTTTATTATCAGTTTCCCATCAGAGTTTTGCCATGTAATTTAAGGAAGAATTTTCAAAAGAGGAATTTATCTTTGTAACAGTCTGCATAAGATCACTGAATTCCTGATTATTACTAGAAAAAGTTGCTTCAATATTAAAAAAATAAGCTACAAATGAGTCTATCTTCTGCTATTGTAACCTTCCATTAGGGACTGACCAATAGTCCCATAACTTGCTGGATCTAGACACAGACCCTTTTTTTGAGTATTTTATTTATTATTTTTATCTTTTATGTGTATGAGTGTATTGCCGGCCATGCATAGACACAAACCTTAAGAGTTCTCTATAGGGGGCTGGAGAGATGGCTCAGTGGTTGAGAGCATCAGTTCTCAGCAGCCACATGGCAGCCAACAGCCATCCATAACTCCAGTCCCAGGGAATCCGACACCTTCTTCTGTCCTCTGCAGGCATTACTTAACACAGGGGCACTTACATGCATGCAAGCAATACATACATACATATAAAATACTTTTTTTTATAAAGGGGGTCTGGAGAGATGGCTCAGCAGTTAAGAACACTGGTTGTTCTTACAGAAGACCCGGGTTCAAATCCCAGCACCCACATGGCAGCTAACAACTGTCCGTAACTCCACTTCCAGGGGATCTGACGGCCTCTTCTGTCCTCTGAGGGCATTTATGACACGGGTGCACTTAACCTACATGCAGGCAATACACACATATACATAAAATAAAAATATTAAATAAAATTTAAAAAATAAAAAAGAAGCCGGGTATGGTGGCACACGCCTTTAATCCCAGGAGGCAGAGGCAGGCAGATCTCTGTGAGTTGAAGGCCAGAATGTCTACAATGTGAGTTCCAGGCCATCTGGTGCTACAAGGAGACCCTGATTCAAAAAGGCTGAAGAAAAAAGTTCACTGTAGGTACAATATCTTGCCAGAGCCCTTTGCAATACCTGACTTCCAGCCAGGTGGTATATGTCTGTAATCTCAGCACTCAGGAGCCTAAAGCCACTAGAGTATAGTTGAAGGCCTGTCTGGCCTACAGAGTTTAAGATCCTGTCTCAAAAAGTCAAAAAGAAATATTGGAGAGATGACTCAGTGGTTAAAATGGCTTGCTGCTCTTGCAGAGGACCAGGATTTCGTTCCCAGCACTCCCATCACATGCCCCTCAACTACCTGTAATTCCAGCTCCACTGTCTTCTTTGGCCTCTGTGGGTGCTTGCATATACACACACAAATCTACACACATGAACATAGAACTTTTAAAAAATCAAAAGGGTGTTCTATTCTGTTTTGTGTGTATTATGTACATTATTATCATCAGAGCATGATATGAGTGGCCTCTGAGTACTTTGCTTAGATTCAAGTTGTAACTTCTAGAAGGACCTCCTAGCATCTGAAGCTCTGCAGTTTGTGGACCATTTACCTCTCTCCCTCCCTCCCTCCTTAAAAAAAAGTCTCTTTATGTGGTCTAGTCTGGCCTTGAACTCAGTATCCTTCTGCTTTAGCCTCCATCAACTGAGTATGGAAACACACACCTGCAATCCCTGCACTCAGAGGTGGAGGCTAGAGGGTTGAGGTCATCCTTACTTAAATAGTGAGTTTGAGGCTAGCCTAGAGCTTACTTATTGTTGGGCTCCTTAGAACTTCAAATATATTAACATACATTGTGAGCTTTGATTATGGAAAGCAGCTGCAGTGTCAGGGGGAATTCCTGGTCTCTGGTCATACTGTGTGATGTTTAGGGTTTTATCTTTGGTCTCAGCCTGGAGCAAACTGTGAAAACATTGTTGGGTTTGGTTTGGTTTGGTTTGGGTTTTAGTGTTTGGTTTTTTTTCTTGTTTTTGAGGTGAGGGGGATGTCTAAGTAGTTGACCTGTTAGGAAGTGATCAAGTATCAGAGTCCAGTCTTTGATAATGGGGCCTGCTAGTTTACTGACGGCAGTAGCAGATTTTATCTCCCCTCAAGAATGAGCCATTTTCTCGGTTATTTCCATACAAACTAGAACAGTAATATTGGAACCACATGCTCTCTCACTGGATTGAAGCCTCTTCCTGTGTGTCTCTACTTCATCTAATACTATGCAGTCATCTTAGATACCCTGTGTCTTTCTGTAGTAGATTTGACTTCTAGGTTCTTTTTGTCTTCCTTAACCCCGGGCCTCTTCCAGAGCTAAGAACCCAGAATGCAGTTCAGTTACTAGCACCTTCATAATTTGGATTGAGAATGTGGAGCCTACTGCTCAAGGTCCATTCCATTAGCTAATCTCTTGTGACATTCTTAATGTAATTTTAACCACAAATATTTCCTTTGAATATGAATTTAATGACTTTTTGTAATTACCTCCCATATACTTTGGGCTTTTAAGTTCTGTAATTTAGATCTTTCATTTCTGAACCATAGATCTAATCATTCCATGGTGGTTTTTAACTTCACAGCTCTGAAATTTTGAGCAAGTTAGCTAATCTCTGCTTGAGTTTCCTTTTCCTGTAAAACATCGATAATAAGTCCTAACTGATGGGAGTTCAAAGTAACACACACAGAAAGCACGTAGAGCCTGGTCTGTAGTTAGTCCCATATATGCTGACCATTGTGATTTTGGGGTACCCTGGCCAGACAACAGGAGCAGATGCCAGTTGGTGAGCCCCACGGGAGGAGCTCAGGACCTCTGTGTCCTTGGAGAGAGCTACCTGTCACATGTGTCTTTCCCAGGCTCTCCTCACTGTCCCATCTTCTGTTTTGCTACTTTCTTGACCCCAGTGTTCCAACTGGCTTCTTTCTTGGACAATAAAAATGAAGAAAAATAAAAGCAGTACTGAAACGAAGCAAAGTACCATGGTTGGTGATTTTGTTGTTG